GAAGTACACTGCTGAGGGGAGCAGCGGGCGGGTCAGGAGAGGTCTGCCACGCCATGTGGACTCCTCCGGGGCAGGCGGGAATCGAACTTATGAGGAAGTGGCTTTAGCTTCTCAGTGCAGTGCTTTAACCCGCTGCGCCACCAGGGAGGGCCAAGTTTATCTTTTTTAAATGGTGTTGCAATAAACATAGAGGTGCAGGTGAACTTTTTTTTTTAATAATATAATAGTTTATTTTTATATCACTTTTGTGCCTTTTTCTATCTCAGTTGCAATCCCCATGGGCTTTCCATCACCAAATCACCCATGTGCCATCAGCAGGTGACCTTTTTAATTAATGGTTTTATGTCCTTTGAGTAGATGCCTAGGAGTAGAATTCTGGATCATATGGAAGCTCCATTTTTGCAGTTTGAGGAACCTCCAAACAGCTCTCCATAATAGTTGGACCAGTGTGCATTCCTACCAGCAGTGTAGAAGCATCCCCTTTTCTCCACACCCTCGTCAGCATAGGCAAATTGAATTTTTAAACCAAATGAGTTTTTTTCTGCTTTGTTGAAGTATAGGGAAAATGTGTCCTTGTGCTTGTGGCTATTATACTCAGTGCCATCTACTCTCGTGTCACTTGGTGTAGATCACCCACAGCATCCCTGCCTGCATTGGGGAGGTGACAGTGAACAGCAAACAGCTGGACAAAGACAGCCCAGCGTCTGTGTTTGCAGTCACCAGGTGCTACACAGCAGCCCAGGAAGGGACTTTCTTTGACGGAAGCGGCTATGCTACTCTAGGTATGTATCATCCACAGTTCCAAAGAAATCTTTGGGATTCACCAACTCACTAAGATGACATGGACGCTAGAATAACATAGTAGGGCAGGCCCCACCAGACACTGGTGTAGTGAGACACATGTAGTTGAGTGAGCTCGCTTATTCTGATTTTTCAGCTTGGTGTGTAAAGCCATGGCACCTCTGTGCATGCAGATGGCCTGGCTAAGGCATCTTCCTACCAGGAGAGATGCAACTTCTGACAGAGGGCACTATCTGGTGCTGCCCTCGCTTCCCCAATTGTATGCAAGTCTACTCTAGCCAAGTAAATAACAAGCTTTGAATTTAAAATTAGGAACGTAAACTCTGTAACCCAGCTGGCCATGCAAGTCACATTTGATGGAAGATATTAATTCCATTTAGATTGTGAAAATAGTAATCAATTATACATAGAGAAATAGAAATCTCTCAAATGCCTCAGTATGTAAATCCTCGAGGCTCATACCTAACCTTTGTAATAAGTTTGACATCTCCATTTTATATTTAATTTACCTGTTTGTACTCACAGGCATGCTGCTTCTGGCACCTGTCCTGCTTCCTATCACAGGGAATTGTGTTTCTCTGACTCCTGTGGCCACAGACTTCCAAGGGGGCGTGTGAAGGGAGAAGGTGAAAACCTAGCACATTTCTGTCACTCTGTTCCCAAGTGCTGGTGACACCACCCACTCCCACAGTTCATCCAACATTGGGCAGAGTTTGACTTCTCAGCTGTCACCTGAGTAAAACTGTAGTCCATTAAATCCCATTTTGAAGAAAACCAAGTGTACACACTAACAAAATGCCAAATGCAAATGATGCCTAACCCAGTGAACATTGTAAAAATAAGTGAATTCTGGCTAGATGATGAGGGTCGTGTGGATGGACTCTGCCCCCTGTGGCGTAGGTGAGGGAGTGTACCTGTTCCAACTCTTGTCTGACTTGGCCCAGCGGATCACCTATGGCCTCTTATAAGAGTCCCCTCATCTTACAGATGTAGAGCAGAGGCAGAGAGGGTGGGGGCAATGGCCGGTGGGGACGAAACACAACCACAGCCATCTGGCACAGGCCACAGCCCCTCTGCGCCTCACTCTTCCTGCTGGCAGAGCTCATCCCTTACTCAGGGATATCCTTCTGTTTTTTCAGTCAAGGAAGGCTACAGAGTCCGATCAGACATAAACATCACACTGGAGTTTCGTACTTCCTCAGAAAATGGAGTCCTGCTGGGGATCAGCACAGCCAAAGTGGATGCCCTTGGGCTAGAGATTGTAAATGGCAAGGTGAGTGCTTAGCCTCCAGGGCTTCCCGCGCCTAGTCTGGTTGAGAAGCAGTAGAAACACCTAGATTCAGATTTCTGCTGATCCAGTTGAGGGAAGAGGGAAATGAGCCCATTAATATTAAAAACACACTCTAACAAGATTTGAAAATAACATCAGACTTTTGAATCAAACTTAAAGTAAAACTGCAACAACACAAAAAGCTTTTCTTCTTGCATCATCTGAATGTTGCTGACCTCATGCCCTTCTTTCTCTAATATGTGTTAACTTTTTTTTTTTTAAACATTTATTTATTTATGCACACAGAACTGGAGTACAGGCCAGAGGTGCAGGGGCGGTGAGAGGCTTCACCAGAGACAGAGTGGGGAGCAGAACAGGCACATTGACAAAGTACACTGCTGAGGGGAGCAGCGGGCGGGCCAGGAGAGGTCTGCCACACCATGTGGGTCACCTCTGGGGCAGGGATCGAACTCATGCAGAACTGGCTTTAGCGTCTTAGTGCTGTGCTTTAACCAGCTGTGCCACCAAGGAGGGCTCATGTGTTAACTTTTTACTTGAAAATAATTACAGATTCATAGGTAGTTGCAGTGAAATCTACAGGGAGATCCAGAGTCACCTGTCACACAGGCTCCTCCTGCACATATATGTGTGTGCAGATGTGTGTGGCTCCTCACAACTTTATCAACTGTAGCTTTGTGTACCCACCAGTATAATCAAGATACCTAATTGCACCATTACTACCAGCTCTGCCCACTACCTCTTCACAGACACACTGATTTCTTCCTCCCCACTACCTTACTCTGTTCTCCTAATTATTGTTTCATGTGTGTTCTACAAATGAAATGATGCAATATCTATTCTGAAATTGGCTTTTTATACTCAGCCTCACTTCTTGGATATTCATCCAGTTTTTTGGTGCCTATCAACACTTCATATTTTTTTTTTATTGCAGAATATTCCATGGGATAGATGTACCACCATCTAAATTATCTTACAGAAAAAAATTAATTTTTTTCTACAACTACTCTATCCTTATTTTTCAACCTCCAGTCCTTCATTTAATTCACTGACAAAATAAATTCAACAATTAACAAGACTCTGATCTCATGCTCGAATATGTCTCCTTCTTGGTTTCTCTCAGTTCTCATTCTCATTCCCCCTTAGGGCCATCAAGGTGCAGGCAGGATGTGGGGGAAGGGACTCTTCATTACCCATTTTCTTTTCTGTAGGCTCAGTTGCCTTGTCTATGGCTCAGATGTCTTTTCTATGGGCTCAATTGCCTTTTCTGACAGCTCAGTTCTCTGGGTCTTTAAACCCTGACTGTCTTCTATGTACTGGGCCAATAAAGGGACCTTCAACCACTTGAGGCAGTGGATAGCCTCGTTGCCAGTCTATTGGGACCACTCCTAGAGATTTTCCAGCAGCCCTCTCTGATCAGGGCCCCTCTCTGATCAGCTGTCAGGGCCCTCTGCTTCTCCATCGCTGCCATCTCCCCTGTCCCACAGAGGCCCTCTAAGCACTTAGTAGTGGCTGTGATACCACGTGTAGGTCATGGTCTCTCAGGCCCTCTCTCTACCTAACTGCTCTTTGCCACCATTTCTACTGTGGCCAGTTTGGGCTGTTGATGTGACAGGACTGACATACTCGAATTTTCTGTGCTCCAGCTTCCCCTGAACCTACTAATTTCTAGTATTTTCCTGCGTAGTTATCACTAAGATTCCCCTGGTATATTCTGGAATGGGAGTGGGGAGTATATCAAAAGTCACATCTCACCTCTCGCCCTTCATCTTTCTCCTGTGGTCCTTCATCTTTGTGTTGAAGCCAAACTATCTGCAGCATGTTGCTACCTTTCTACTCTGTAGTTTAAACCAGCTTTTTTCCTTACCTGCACTTCCAAAATTTTTGTGACCACCTAAAAAATATTATCAGAAGTATAGTAGTTGCAAAACATGTACTGCCGTCTGCATATTTTACTTCTATTTTGGTTTATTGTTACAGACTTTTAAAACATTTTTAGTTGCTTCTCAAAGATTTATAACATGCATCTTTAATTTGGCACTATATATAGAAAGAACCTTGGAATAAGTTCGCATATAGCATACGAATCTTGCAACACTATACTTTCGAGTCTTCTCTCCCATCTTTTCCAAGACATAGATGGTTAGTGCACCCATTTACTGTGTTCGCACATCTGCAGTTGCTTGTTATCTTCAAATTGAGGTGCCTTGAGGATGCAATGCTGAGTTAATGGCTCAGGCTTGTTGCCATGGCAGTGTCCACTGGCCATTTCTGAAAATTTCTGGAATAGGATAGTATCTAAATCCTTTTTTTTTTTAAGACTTATGTATTAATGCATAGAGAACCGGGGTACAGGCCAGAGGTGTAGGGGCAGTGAGAGGATTCACCAGAGACAGACTGGGGCAGAGACAGAGACAGAACATGCAGAGACAGAGACAGAACAGGCGGATCGATGAACACTGCTGAGCAGAGCAGTGGGCGGGTCAGAAGTCTGCCGCCCATGTGGATCACCTCCGGGGCGGGGATGCTGAAGTGGCTTTAACTTCTTAGTGCTGTGCTTTAACCCAGTGAACCACCAGGGAGGGCCCTATATCCTTTTTTTTTTTTTACAAAAAAAAAAAAAGATTATTTATTTATGCATACAGAACTAGGGCCATGAGAGTATTCCCCGGAGACAGAATGGGGAGTGGAACAGGTGGATCCACTGAAATATACTAATATACTGCTGGAAGGAGCAGTGGGCTGATCAGGAGAGGTCTGCCACACCATGTGGGTTACCCCTCTGGTTAGGCATCAAATTCATGCTGTAGTGACTGCGATAGCTTCATATAGCACTGTGCATCAGCACTGTTGCACCACCAGGGAGGGCCCAGTATCCTTTAAGAAACAATTTTTCAAAATCATTGTTTTATTTTTTCTGTAGTTATCCTTTCTTTTACTTTAAAAGCATTATACAAAAACTAAATTCCTTAAATGTGTAAAAAATCTCCAAAGTATTTGCCTATGTCTGCTTTTTAGCTCTTGTTTCATGTTAATAATGGTGCTGGGAGGATAACAGCTACATATGAGCCCAAAGCTACCAGTTCTCTCTGCAATGGGAAGTGGCACACACTTCAGGCCAACAAAAGCAAACACCGCTTGATGCTCATTGTGGATGGAAATGCAGTTCATGCTGAAAGCCCACACACCCAGTCCACCTCAGCAGACACCAACAACCCCATCTATGTCGGTGGCTACCCTGGTATGTATACCTGTTTGCTTGTGTATTTTTAAGGGGGGCTGTCACTGAGGCAAGTCTTAGTTCAGATGGATTTAGAACATTAAAAAAAGTACATGGTTTGGGTGACCAATCTTTTACTGCTTTAGAGAAGCTGTTTCAAATACTTAGAAACTCCTGGACATTTCAAAATAAGCCAACTATGTAAATTTATTAGTAAGACTGAACAGATGCAAGGCACAGTAAACTGGATGACTTTACTAAGGAGACTAATCTTGAGTAGGGAATGAACAATGGAATGATTTTAGAAAGCAAAGGTGTCTTAAACTCCCATACTAACTCTGGTTTCAGGTGAGCATTTCAGATGTTCCAAGTAATTGTTACCAGTGTGAACAAAGTAAAACTCTTTTATGACTCTTAAAGTCACAAGAGGGTGCCTTAAAATTAGGGCATATTAAAAGTATTCTTGAATTTGGGTATTTGCTGAAACCACTTATGTGAAAAAAAAATTCTTCTAATTTTGATATAGAAACCACTTGAAATTATTATTGTTCCTATTGTGCTACCCATGTCACTTTTTAAATAAAAAAAAATAAGCAAGAATTATCTTCTCTTTTGTCTCAAACAGCTGGAGTAAAGCAAAACTGCCTGACCAGCCAGACTTCCTTCCGGGGCTGTATGAGAAAGCTGACTCTGATTAAGGGCCCGCAAGAGCAATCCTATGACTTCAGCAGAGCCTTTGACCTACAAGGAGTTTTTCCTCATTCCTGTCCTGGGACTGAGTCTTGAACTTCAAGGGAATTCCTCGATTGGGGATTATTGTTTATATTTTGAGAATAATTTGGGGGGTTAAAAAATGTCAGTTCAAATTTCACTTCCAACTCAGGTTGTTTCCAGATAGAAATGAGCTCATGTTCAACTAAAACCATGTGTACAACAAATACCTCTATTAAATAGATTAAAATATAAATTGAATTCATTAACCAAGAGTCCTCAGTAGTATGTTTTCCAGTTTCCATATATGAGAGGGTTTTCTTGCTTTCTTTTTGTGGTTGATTTCTCCTTTGATTGGAGAGGATTGGTATGACTTTAGTCTTCGTGAATTGTTGATAATTGTCTGGTAACCCAATCTGTTGGCAACCCACATATGTGCAGAAAGAAACCTATACCTATATGGACAGTTAATCTATGATGAAGGACCAAGAGTATAGAATGGAGAAAAGAAAACACCTTCTTTAAAAGGTGTTGGGAAAACTGGAGAACCATATGAAAAAGACTGAAACTAGACCCCTATCTCACACCATACATAAAAATTAACTCAAAATTGGTGAAAGCCTTGGCTATATGACATGAAATCAATATGGTATAAATGAGAAAACATTGGAAAAGCACTTCATGTCATAGACTTAAGTGATAACTTTTTGGATTCACTTTCAAGAGATGGAGAAACAAAGTGAAAATAAAAAGCTTCTGAAAAGTGAAAGAAACTATCACTAAAATAAAAACACACCCTAATGAGTGGGAGAAATTTGTGCACTGTATATCTGACAAGGGGTTGATATCCAATTATTACTATATATATATATAAATCGATAAAAAATAATCCAATAAAAAAATAGGGCAGAGCTAAATAGACACCACTTGAAGAAAAGCATACATATGGTCAACAAGCTAATGAAAAATGCTCATCATCACTTACCGTCTGGGAAATGCAAATCAAAACCATCATGAGATACTTCTCACACACTGAGAGTCAAAAAGACCAGAGATAACAAGTGTTGGTGAGCACGTGGGGGAAACAAAGAACCCTTATATACTATGTGGGCTGTAGACTGGTGCAGCCTCTATGGGGGTTTCTTAAAATATTTAAAATAGATCTACCATATGATCCAGCAATTCCACTCTGGGTGCTTGGAGAAGAATGCAAAATAAATAAACAAACAAACAAACAAACAAATAAATAAATAAATTCTAAGGAGTATGTGCACTCCTATATTCATTGTCCCACTATTTACAATGAACGTATTTACAGTGTATTTATTTATACAACCAAGTTATAGAAATAACCAAAGTGTATAATTCCATATAATTGAATTAGAAAGATGGAGGATATATACACAGTAGAATACTATCCAGTTATAAAATAAAAGGAATTCTCCACTACAACATGGATGGAACTGGAAGGACTAAGCTAAGCAAAATCGATCAGAAGGTAAATGGACTATGGTTTCTCTTCCAAGTGGAACAGAGAAATAAAACAGAAAGGCAAATAAAACTAAGCCAATAACAAGGCTCAGACATCTAATATAGCATTGAGGCTACTAGAGGGGAAAAAAGGGGAGAAAATGTGAGACTGATAGACCGTGGTGGGGGTAGCGTGGTGGGTATGGTGAGGTGATGCAGTTATCTGAGGAGTTGTCATCCTAGGCCTCCAAGTCATGCAGTATTGTAGCCAACATCGCCTCACTAAAAGGCGTCATGACTAGCTAGCTCTGGTTCTGTACATTTTATTTACACCCCTAGAATGAGAGTTTCCCAGACAGCTTCTCTTTCTGGACAATGTGTGTAAGTTCCAAAGAAGAAACATTTGATGGCTGAAAGTCTATATTCTACTTATTAATGTAGCAGTTTTAAACCCTTAATTCTGAGGCCTCACTTATTCTCCGTGGTTATGGCTGGTGTTAGAATGACTCTCATTCCTTCTCTGAATAGGCTTCAGAAAAATGATTTGCTTTTTACTTGAAGAGAGGTCTCAACCACTCTAAGCAATAACCCCCCCAATTCCAATAGAAAAGGTGATACATTCAATTTCCGTGTCTATCACAGATTTTAATTTGACAAAGAAGCTACCTGTATCCTGGTCCTTCTCTCTCTTGTGTGCCTTGCTCATCTTTTTGTCATGTTCTGCACCTCATGACTGCTACCTCTGAAATGTGTAATTTCTTTCCAGTTAAAAGTCTGCATGAAGGTATTAAAGAAAAGCAACCTCCCATTGGCAAGTGTGGCTTGTCCTGCAGCACCTTGCAATCTAAGGAATGCAGTCTCCTGCTGAGTGGAACAGCTCACTTGGGCAGCTGGATTAGAAAAGCTGCACTTGCCATCTCAACAGTGAAAATGCACAAGATCCCTCATTGTGCCAGAGTTGGCTTTTCTGTTCATGTTTCTATGGAAACCATCTACAGGGTTGGACATACTAGACTTGGGGGCCCCCCTCTGCACACCCCTCCCCCCACACACGCATTCACATTGGGTTAGTGAGTGATCCAAACTAGGACAAAAAAGCATATTGCAGAGGTCTTGGACTTTGTACTGTCTCCAGCTCCCTTTCTCCTGTCTTTCTCTTTCCTATGCTTCCTAAGTACATTCGGGTCTCTCATCATTATAACTATTAACAAGGCCGCTCTTAAAAGGAACATCTTCTTGCTCTGGCTTTTCACGGAATACAGAGAGACTGGAGTTTGGATGTCTTCCCATGATAGTTAAAGAAGTGGGTTCCAGGTCAGCTTCTCATTACAGGACCTCATGCTTGGTCCTTGACCTCTCAGCGAGATTGGATTCAGACCTCTAAAGTAAAGTAGCTATATAAAATACAAACACTCAGTTAAACATGAATTCCAGATTTTTTTAAAAAATGCTTCTTAGTGTAGGTCTATCCCATAGGATGTCATATCCTATATTTACTTGTAAACCTGGTAACCCCAGTTAAGAGATCCCAAGGTCTTAAAAAGTTTAATGACCTTTCTCTTATTGCTAGAAGATTCAAATTTTTAAAAATCCACATCTCAAAAGACATAACAAGTCCATTGAAGATCAAATCTTCCTAGTTTTGGTATATCAGACTTTTTTTTTTCAAAACTTGTTTTAGGTTGCCCAAGGGTTTGATTAGTCAACAACCTAGGATTAATTTAATTATAAGGCACATGCAACATAATTTTAACTGATTTTAAGTGTATAGTTCTGTGCCCTTACACACATTCATACTGTTATACAACTATCACCCCACCCAGCTCAAAAGGTTTTTTACATTTTGTAAAACTGAAGCATTGTACCTTTTAAACACTGTCTGCTCCCTCCTATTACCAGGCCCTGACAACCACCATTCTATTTTCTATCTGTATGAGTTTAACTACTCTAGTGAGCTTACATACATGGATTCATGCAGTATTTAGTTTTCTCTCACTGGGTTATTTCAACTAATATCAAGTCTTACAGGTTCATCCATGTTGTAGTATGTGTCGGTATTTTCTTCTTTATTAAGGCTGAGTAATAGTCCATTATATGTACATGCTATGTTTAACTTATGCATTTATTCATTAATAGACACCGGGAGATGTTTCCACTTTTGCCTACTGTGAATAATGCTGCTATAAATACAGTTGTAGAAATATATGTTCAAGTCATTGCTTTGAATTCTTTTAAATATATACCCAGCAGAATTACTGGATAATATGTCAATTTTTTTTTTATTTTGAACAATCACCACATTTCCTTCATAGCATCCAGCACTGTGTTAAGCCTAAATTTTCTTGTCTGTAAAATGGGGTTATCATACCAGTCTCAAAAAAGGTATGTGTTTAGGAAATATTATTTAAAATTAACTCAAAGAGAAAGTGAATACCTGCATAAACCTAGAATTTGACCTTTGTGAAATTTCATCTTCAGTCACACCTACCCTAAAAAACTTGAACTACCAGCTTAAAGCAAGTTTTATTATACCTCTGAAACTTAAAAAAAAAAGGAAAACTAACCAACCCATTTAACATGGCTGACATAACCTTTATTAAAGGCTTATTTATATAATACATAAATGATTTTCTATATTCATAATTAGAGATAAAACACACTTTGCTGAATACAGATCAACCAAATATCAACAAAGGCTTATTAATTAACTGTCAATGTAACATCTGCATCAGTTACTGATATTAAAATAGATTAAATGCTCTTTTAAAATTTCTGAGGCCATGAAACAAATGCATTTTTCTTAGAACACTATAAACAAAGACTAAATCATGATACCATAGAATAGACAATTCCAGAAAGGCTGAAAGGTGCCTTGAACTAGTTTGGTAACAAAGCTTTGCAGAATATACAACAGCAGCATCCATAGGATGTGGTCCAACTGGCAAATGCTGTCCCACATATGGTGGGGTGTAAGTGTGGAGAGGAACTACGGGAGCAGGACTCATGAGTCGAAGCTTCTCAGCAGCTAAAAGAAAGAACTGTAGGGGTGGGGTGCATTGGAGAAGAACAGAATGGGTGGGGCTAATCATAGAGACCCCAAAATTCAAGTAGGCAGGAAGGACGCTACACACAAAGTCTTGTGAAGCATCAGGCTTTGCTGCCTTGGAAGTATGCCTAAGTGGTGTGTTTGAAGTCACACCTGGCTGGAGACTGCAATCTGTGTCAGCCAGTTGATCAAGACTAATAAAGACAGGATTGATAGCCAGGTTGTGATGATAAGGAACAAGATAATTGTATAGGAATGCAAGAGTCTCTGCAATATGACAGCTTTAAGCAGTAAAGTATTATGAGTCTCAGTAGGTAGCTGAAATCAAAGCAAGTGGCAGTTCATAGATAGGAGATAAGCTGAGCACAGTTATGAGCTTAAGTTTTGAATATACTGAGTTTTAGAGGTTGGTGAGAACATCTGAAGGGAGATATATATTAGCCACTTGATTATAGAAGAGTGGACATCAGATGAGCAGAAGACTGGCTAGTGGGGACTGCTATCTTTCGGCCTGCTGAGACCATCACTGAGAATTGGTTGAGAAATAGCAAGATGGATCTCAGAATTACAATAAAGGTAAGCCAGCAAAGAAACTCTCAATCAGCATTAACTTTTATGCACATTTTCTAGCTACTGCTGAGTTTTCATGGGCGGATCATTGATAAATAGCCTTTCAGAGTATCAATGGATTCTCAG